CCAAAAAAAAAAATAAACATGATTTTGCAGTCAGCCGCACTAAAAAGTAGAAAATTGTTTTCAATAGTGATTGACATAAAAAATAATTTTAAGCCGGAATCGGTCAAGCCATAATAGTTAACAGAAAAATATAAAAAAATTTTTGCTATATTTTAAAAATTACAGGCAATTATAAAAAAATAGAGAAAATCTACATTCTGTGATGGTCTATTAACTCCCGTTGCTACAAATTTTAACTTTTTTAATTTTCTCTTTATTATGTAATCCTGAATAATGTTTCTGAAAACTGTTGCTTAAAATTTCTAATAATTCTAATTTCTTAAAATATCTTAGTGATTCTGTCAATTACAAGGCATTCCATCTTAGTCCTCAGTGGTGAAAACGCATCTGCATTTTGATTCTCAATTGAAGTGAACTTATTGTAACAGCAAAATTGGTACTAGTTTTGCGTTTATGATTATTGAAGTTATTAAAGTTTAATTAGAAAAATTTGGAAGATTAAAAAAAATAATAGGAATTGATGAAATAAATAGCCTTTGATCTACATAATGCCGCATTAATATATCCTACCCGCCGTAGCTGAGGCGAGGCTCTAGTTAAAAATAAATTTTCTTTCTTTCTTTCAACTATAACAAATAATATTAAATATTAATAACTGAAGTATTTAGTAATGATGCCAAAGAGCGAATTTTTTTTTGACGATCAGCCGTTAAACAAGCACAAATCAGCAGTTTTTCTTGTAAAAATTCCGGTCATTTCTCACGGCGGATTTCGATTCAACCCAATATCGGTAATGTGATCTACAAATCAAAGCTGTCCTCAATGCCGACGCATCCGTTTCGTTCTAAACTCGTGGCTGCTCGTGTTATAAATTTATTACAAGAAAGACCTATAAATGTGCAAAAAACGTATCACGTTCTTTGTCATTTTTATATCTAGGTGTTCTTTTGCATGACTGCGTTCATGCAAAATATGTGTGTTTTTGTGACCGCCCGGCTTAGTTTCCACATCTACCTTCTAACTTAGATGTTAATCCAAACAAGTGTGTATATTGTCTGTCTATATATATCCAACCACAAATAATTGTGTTTTTCTAGTTTTGTTAATAGTTTTCCTGGACATTTTTATGTATACATAAATTTCACCTGGATTAACATCCGGACCTGGATCAATTAATTATAACTAACTCTTGTTCCGTGTGGGATTTGAACTAGTGACTCTTTTTTGGCTGACATCAAAAAATGCGGTTCTTATTTCGAAATATTTTCGTAAAGTGCGAACAGAATTTGTTGATCCTTTTTTATTCAATTCCTCGTTCAAGAATGCCCCATGTAAATTAAAAAAATAAACTACATTCGAGCATGTGATGGTCTTTAGTTCATTCAAAAAGGTTATAAAATTATTTATATAAAAAGAAAAGAAAGAAAAATTAGACATTTAAATATTTAATAAAAACGTTTAGGGATTGACGAACGAAGGTTTATTAAGATATGCAATTAATAATGAAATGACTGGATAAAGAACAAGTAGTAAAATAAAAAATTTTGTACAACCGACTTCAATATAAATTATTAAAGATAACTCAAAAACTATTGGTCAGACCTTAATCAAGTTTATATGAGAAGCACCAGTTTTCAAATAAAAAGAAGAGTCATTGAAATCGGTTCACCTAGAAAAAAGTTATGAGGTAACACACATAAAAACACGCAAAGAAATGAGTACCTCGTCCATTTTGCAGTCGGTTAAAAATAAGATACTTTTTACCAAGGACAAAATATTACAATAGGTTTATGTATCCGTGTGGATGTAGCAGAGCGTCGTACGAGCTAGTCATCAAGTCAATCCAAACAATTAAAAAAGCAAAAATTAGACTGATAATAAAAAGTACCGGTTACTTCAAAGAACTACAAAAAAAGAAAATAATATTCACATAATAGCTTATGAAATTATATGAAAAAATACTTTTTAATACTTTTCCTTATGTGCTCTTTTCATCGCTTCGTAGGTGGTTAAAGCGGCGACTGAGGGGAAACTAAAACAAGAGAGAAAGCAGCTGCATCTTCTTGATAACAACGGAAAATAATAAAACTACACAATATATACGTATATTAATGAGGTATCTATGAATATGCTCTTTTTTAAATATTATATATGTATATGAATGATGTATGAATATGCTCTTTTTTAATATTTTCTTTACAAAGCAATGTCTCCATAACCCGCACAGAATGAAAGACATCTAATTATACCTGTCGATAAATAAAATATCATTTATACAAATAAATAAAATTGAAGTGTCTGTATTGTAATGTCAAAATTACAGCTTATTACTAAATGCATATGAAAGTATATATGGTACTAATAACAAAAATACAATTTTTAAAGTTTTTGTCTGTCTGTCTGTCCGTCTATGTCTGTCTGTCTGTCTGTTTGTTCCGGCTAATCCCCGAAACGGCTGGATCGATTTTGACAAGATTTTCACTGGCAGATAGCTAATGTTACAAAGAGTAACTTAGGCTACTTTTATTTTAGAAAAAGAATTAGGGTTCCGCACAAAAAATTAAAACCCATAATAACACGCGGGCGAAGTCGCGGGGAACACCTATTCTTCTATACAAATAAATAAAATTGAAGTGTCTGTTTGTAATGTTAAAATAACAGCTTTTTACTAAATGCATATGAATACTCTACTTCTAAAAAAATACAATTTTTAAAATTTTTGTCTGTCCGTCTGTCGGTCTGTCTGTTTGTTCCGGCTAATCTCCAAAACGGCAGGACCGATTTCCACGGTACTTTCACTGGCAGATAGCTGATGTTCTATGGAGTAACTTGGGCTACTTACATTTGAAAAAGAGAATTAGGGTTCTGAGCAATATAATTAAAACCAGGCGAAGTCGCGGGGAACAGCTAGTAATAAATAAATATCAAAATGGGATCATCTCTGAATTGGGATGCGTTGTCACTAAAAAGGATTTTCTGTTGACGGCATTCACGATGCGATACACGACAGTTTAATGCTCCTATTTTACGCTTGCAGCCATATTTGCAACGTGACTCTGCCGAGTAAACGAATCATTAGTTTCTGATCTCCTTAAACAAGCATGTGTGAACAACATCTTTAAACGTAACTGCGCAATGAATTTACTCTTGCAAAAGCAAAACACCAACTTTGTTCAAGAGCTACGAATTAAGTTAATCGGCGAGCTATACAAGTTAATGAGATTTGAAGTTCTATCTCGCGTCTAATACGAGTACTGTGGTTGTGTTACAGTATTAAGCTGGATAGGAAAAGTTTGTGAAGGTAGCTGGAAACTAAAATGTTAGTTTTGTTCCATACATGCATGAATGTTTTATAGCAACTTGTGGATACTTAGCGGGTATGTAATTAGTTTTCTTTTTCTTTTATTATAGGATAAGGGTGACAAACGAGCACACAGTCCACCTGATGGTAAGTAGTTGCTGCGGCCCATAGACATCTACATCTATCCTCGTTTGCGAATCAAAATGCAGATGCGTCGTCACCCGTGAGGACTAAGATGGAATGCCTCATTCCCAGTAAAAAGGGCCTCCGGCCACCTGCACTCACCAAGCGAAATGCAGAGGTAAAACTCTACTTCACGCTGGTATTCAGTGAGGTCGTGGTACCACCCCGGTTCGAGCCGGCCCGTCCGTGCGACAGCAATTCTGCCGCGTGGCTCTACCACTGTTGAAGGTTAAGTAGTGTTCAGTTCCCAAGCAAAAATTAAAACTTTTATCCGGTTACGGAATATATCTTGAATTATTAATACATGAACTACTTTCTACAAATAGTTGAACGTTGCATAAAATTGGAATCTTACAAAATTTTTACATGGTAGAGCCTTGATGCAGTTATATTATAGTTGTAGCACGAATGGGTGCGGCGTAGACCGGGGAAGGACCGCGCCCTCAGAGAATTCCAGCACAAAATAGCAGATCAATGCTTTTTTGTTTTGTATGGCGAGTTTAGAGAACCGGAGACCCTATTCACTGGAAACAAAGCATCGCATCTAATTCCTCAAGAGTGATAATGATAACGAATTTGCATTTTGATTCTTAATTGAGGATGGATGTGTGCTCCTTTGTCACACTTATCCGACAAAAAAGTCGTTATGTTCTTTAATATTTTCAAATGTATTTATCAGTGCATCCGCTGGGTGGTGGCGGCGTTAAAGAATATATCACCCCGGTTTATCCCGAGGGAGACGTAAGAAGCGAACATGAGAAATTTCAGAAGATTTTAATCGCTTTGATACAATATAAAATGATGTAATGACATACCCTACGTACCGATAGTCTATATATATATATATATATATATATATATATATATATATATATATATATATATACATATATATATATATATATAAATTTGTACAGCCGACTCCAATAAAAGTTATTAAGAATAATTCAAAAACTGTTGGTCTGACCTTGATCAAATTCATATGGGACCACACGAGAAGTACCAGCTTTCAAATAAAAAAAGAATCATCGAAATCGGTTTACCCAGTAACAACATACAGTCACAACACATAAAAATAAAACCTACAGTCGAATTGAGTACCGTCTCCGTTTTGGAAGTCGGCCGAAAATGACTCAAATATAAAGTCTCTCAAAGAGCCATATTTGATTTCGATAGTAAATTCACTTTTCTCCTTACACAAGTTTGTGTTATTGTAATTTGTAATGTTGACTTCTTATGTTTATGCGAACACTACACATTTAAATAAAACGAGTTTTACAGATTTTATCTTAACTTATTTTATATACACGACATTTCAAGTTATGACATTCAACACATCAGTCAGCCATATGATATTGGGACGTCGAACAACTCAGTCCGCCTATAACCACGGGGTCTGTAAAGTACTCGAAACGTCGGGAATATAAAATACCTAAGTTAATATACCCGACAAAACCCGTAAAGTTACTTTCATTTAAATTCTAATGTTACTGTCATAAAATTATATAAGTTTATACTAAGCTGCCACGGTTCTATTTACGAGTATAATGTTTTGATAGTGCCGTAACAAAGCAGCTTTTGCTTTATTAACTACTAATTGCTGCCGCTTGTCTATTACTCGACTGCAAATTGCAACTTCAGTTGTAACCTTTTGAGGCTCGTGTTACTGATAAAGTGGGACGCAACGACAAAATGAAAATTCAGTACGCGGTGTGAGATTTGTGCTTGAGGAAATTAACTACGGTGAAATTTTTTCAGGTGGTAAAGCTCGTTCTCTGCAAACGTATTTATCTAGACAGGTTACCTTTTTATCTACTTCTAACGCTAATAACATTGTATCCACTGCTGCGTTGTAATTTGTAGAATATGATGTTTTTATATCATATTTTTTATACTAGTTGTTTGGTCGAGTCGCACATTTCTGCTGGCGGCAACATTACTAAACTAACTAAATAATTGTGGCTGCCCCATATGAGGTCATCTATGGGGGAGGCCTATGTTCAATAGTGCATTTTCGATAAGCCGTGATAAATGGTTCCGAATGGTCTTGAAAATTGTGACATATTCGAAATTAACACTATTGACACCTTTAAAATATAAAAGTACAGCAGGCACACGCTCGACTGAGACTGGCTCCACTCGTTCACTGTGATGTAGGCGTGGTACCCGAAACTTGTTGTCGTGCAAAACTTGCTTGACGTGTTGGAGCTCGGTGGCCAGGTGTTTACTGTCACAGATACCTTGTACTCTCTGAAACAAAAATTTTACCACGGTGACTGTGAAGGATGCTGGTGAGAATCACCATTTAAATATCTATATCTATGTGCTCTTACACCTTCCCTGTTGGACCTTCTGCTGACCTCTCATCGGGATGAATATCAGGTTTCCGTCGATGCCCCTCTCGGCTCTTCGGACCATTGTCTGATCCGGAGTGTGGTGCAACTCACGTTCCCCTCGCGGTTGCGTTCTGCAGGTTGCCGCCGTGTTTGGCATTACACGTCGTCGGATTGGAACGGAATGCGGTCTTTCTTTGCATTCTACCATTGGGGGCGGGTTTGCTTCTCGCCGGATGATTCCAGCGCTGATGCTGACTCTGTCACTGATGTGATGCTACAGGGAATGGAATAATTTATTCCATCATCTGTGGTACCCATCGGAGGCAGATCTCAGCCTTGGATTGGTCGCTCCTGTAAGACTACATTACGCAGTAAGCAGGAGTGTTATCAAGCCTGGGCTGTGGCTTCGGCGATTTTGGATGTAAACACCAGCACACTTAAAAAGAAGTATAACTTCGCCTCCAGGTCCTTCAAAAGATTTATTGCCAAGGCAAAGTCAGAGCACATAGGCAGAATTGGCGAGAAACTAGTTCGCCTTCTTTCGGGAACCCGTGCATTCTGGTCTCTCGCCAAGGCTGTCCAAGGGAATTTCTGCAAGCTACCATCTCTGCAGAGGGAGGATGACTCACTGTCTCAAGCCGCAAAAGACAATGCCGACCTTTAAGGCTCCCTTTTTGCGTCCAACTCGACTCTTGATGACGGGGGGAAAACACCGCCGACTATCCCGCGGCGTGAGTGCTCAATGTTGGATGTGCTGTTCTGTGCTCGGTTCGCAAAGCACTCCTCTCCCTGGACTTTTATTTTAGAAAAAGAATTAGGGTTCCATGCAAAAACATACAAAGCCTAACACGCGAACAAAGTCGCGGGGAATAGCTAGTCCTCAATAAAGAATCAAAATGCAGATGCGTTGTCACCCGTGAGGACAAAGATGTATTGCCTCTTTTCCAGTAAAAAGGGTCTCCGGTTCTCTACACTCACGATACGAAACACATCAGTGTTAAGCTGCTATTTTACGCTGGCATTCTGTGAGAGCGTGGTCCTTCCCCGGTCGAGCCAACCCATTCGTGCTACAACTATAATATAGCTGCAGCATGGCTCCGCCACGTGTAAACGTGAAGAACCGTTAACATTTCATAATTATCAACAAACATATAAAATGCTATTTGCTATATTTGCATTACGTATGCATTTTTGACTATTTAATATAGATCCAGAAATGAATTTAGGCGAGTCGTGCCTTCACGGTCACACTGAGGTCACTCGTCAGCCGCGCGGACTATTATTCATACATCCTACTTGTCTAGAGAGTGTAAATTTGTTTGAATTTCATCATATGGGTAATAAATGACAAAGTGATAACAATTCTATGCATTTAAATTAAAGTAATAATATAGCATGAAACTCTCTCTGAAGCGGCAATTCGAGTCGTAGCGAGCCTGCAGGCTGCAGCGTCTGACAAACAGTCTTCACAAACGTGCTTATTAGAACTTTGTCTCCGGCTTAACTGATTTTGTTAAACGGTTCCCTTGGAAAATAGGAAAAGTATTGCGTGCCTTAAGCGCAAAGCTCGTAGGTATGTTCTACTAGCGCCTAAAAATCAAGATTCCAACGTTTTGTCGCATAATGTCGTATCTAATAATCATATTCAACATATAAAAGATATAAAAAACACATTGTCAAAAGGATAATTTTTTTATTAGTGTAGGGTGACAAATCAGCCGTGTAGTGGCGATTGAGAATATCTACTACCCCATATCTTCCCGTGGGTGTCGTAAAAGGCGACAAAGGGAAACAGGCAGGAGATGGGCAGCAGCATCTTCCTGGTAACGGCAAAAATACAATTAAAAACTGCGGTTGCCAACCCGCTCGCCAAGATTGGCAACTATGGCAACATACCCCCCATGATGAAAGTTACGAAGAGACGGCCCCCAGTCCCCGGCGGCCCCGCTATTCCTGGCTACGGTGGCGACCATGGTAACGGCGGGGCAGGGGGTGCTAAGAATCTCCGGTGGAGGTTCGGTTGCCACCTACAACGACTCGACCTGGCAACATACAACGCACGCACCCTGAGGACTGACGAGAAGATTGTGGAGCTGGAAGAAGAGATAGACAAGTTACGCTGGCATGTTATAGGATTATCCGAAGTCTGAAGAGAGGGGGAGAACAAGGTAATCCTCGAATCCGGCAACTTGCTCTATTACCGGGAGGGCGACTATCTGTCCCAAGGAGGTGTCGGATTTATCGTCCACAAGTCTCTCGTTAACAACGTTGTAAAGATTGAGAGTGTGTCGACGAGGGTTGCGTACCTTATACTCAGATTCACCAAACGGTATTCGCTGAAGGTCATACAGGATTACGCACCAACCTCGGCACACCCCGATCAGGAGGTGGAGGAAATGTATGAGGATATCTCTAGAGCCATGCATTCCTCCAAAACCCAACATACGGTGTTAATGGGAGACTTCAATGCAAAACTAGGCACAAGAGAGAACGGTGAGCTGAAAGTGGGGAAATTTGGAATAGGGCAACGGAACCCAAGGGTCCAGCAGCTGGCCGACTTCATGGAGAAAGAGGGACTCTTTATGATGAACTTTTTCTTCCAGAAGCGGTCCCACAGGAAGTGGACCTGGTCGAGCCCCGACGGTTCGACAAAAAATGAGATTGAATTCATTATGACGACCAGACGACAACTGTTCAGTGATGTCTCAGTGATCGCGAGGGTGAAAACCGGCAGCGATCACCGAATGGTTAGAGGCACACTGAACCTAAACGTTAAGTTAGAGAGGTCTCGTCTAATGAAGTCAACGCTCCGTCCCCATCGTGCTCTAATCCAAAGTCCCGAAACCTTTCAGCTCGAGTTACAAAACCGTTTTCAGTGCCTAGAAGACTGCAATGAAGTGGACGATTTGGATGACAAGCTCGTGGAAACTGTCCATGCGGTCGGAGCTAAGTTCTGCAAGACCCACCGCAGATAAACAAAAAAACTCTCCGATCACACTCTTAATCTCATGGCTGTTAGACGGGAGATGAAGCTACATTCTGCAATAGATTTGACAGCATACAGGCAACTGAACTGACAGATCTACAAATGCATGCGGCGGGACTTACGCAACTTCAATACAGCTCGTATTGAAGAAGCGATCGAGCGGAACCAAGGCTCCAAAGTCTTTGCCAGAGATCTGTCTGCCAGAAAGAGCCAACTGTCAAAGCTGAAGACCGAGTGTGGCAGCATTGTTTCCGGGACACCTGAGATTTTGAGTGAGATTGAGAGGTTCAATGGACAGCTGTACACGTCATCGTTGGAGGCACACGCAAGTGTGAGTAACGATCCAAGAGCTAGTCTTATCCGACAATATTCCGAAGATATCCCGGACGTCAGTCTGAGCGACATTAGAATGGCTCTCCAGCACCTTAAAAACGGCAAATCCCCTGGCGAGGATTGAATTATAGCGGAGCTTCTGAAATCGGATGGAAAACCGGTACTTGAAGTCCTTCAGAAGCTCTTTAATTCCGTCCTCCATGGTGGCATTACACCGGAGGCGTGGAGCAGAAGTGCGGTGGTCTTGTTCTTCAAGAAAGGCGACAACGCTCTCTTGAAGAACTACAGACCGATTTCCCTTCTGAGCCGCGTCTACGTGCTGTTTTCGAGAGTCATTACGAATCGTCTCGCGCACAGACTTGACGACTTCCAGCCTCCCGAACAAGCCGGTTTCCGAAAAGGCTTTAGCACCATAGACCACATACATACCCTTCGGCAAATGGTACATAAATCCAAGGAGTACAATTTGCCACTATGTCTGGCGTATGTGGACTATGAGAAAGCCTTTGATTCCGTCGAAATTTGGGCGGTGCTGCAGTCCCTTCAGCGATGCCAAGTTGACTGTCGGTATATCGAAGTGTTGAAGTGCTTGTACAGTAGGGCTACGATTGCTATCCGAGTACAGAACCAGAGTACGAAACCTATCCAATTGCAGAGAGGTGTAAGACAGGGTGACGTCATATCACCGAAACTCTTTACCGCTGTATTGGAAGATGTTTTCAAGCTTCTGCACTGGAAGGGATACGGTATCAACATCAATGGCGAGTACATCACTCACCTTCGATTTGCCGACGATATAGTCCTTATGGCAGAATCGCTGGTGGACCTAAGTACTATGCTCAATGACCTCAATAGTGTTTCCCAACGGATAGGTCTTAAAATGAACATGGACAAAACAAAGATCATGTTTAATGTCCATGTCACACCTATGCCGGTAGTTGTTGGGAACACTAAGCTCGAAGTTGTTGACGAGTATGTTTACCTGGGACAAATAGTCCGACTAGGTAAGTCCAACTTCGACCGAGAGGTCAATCGACGGATTCAACTCGGTTGGGCAGCGTTCGGGAAATTACGGCACATCTTCTCGTCAGGTATACCTCAAAACTTGAAAACAAAACTGTACACCCAGTGCGTGTTGCCAGTGATGACATACGGAACTGAGACGTGGTCCTTCACTGCTGGCCGGATGAGGAAGCTCAAGGTCGCTCAGCGAGCTATGGAGAGGGCTATGCTCGGAGTTTCTCAGCGTGATATACTCATAAATGAGGATATCCGCAGTAGAAACAGAGTGACCGACATAGCCCAACGGATTGGTAAGCTGAAGTGGCAATGGGCCGGCCATATAGCTCGAAGAACCGACAACCGATGAGGAAGAAAGGTTCTCGTGTGGCAGCCTCGCACCGGCAGGCGAAGTGTAGGGCGTCCCCCCACTAGATGGAGTGACGACCTGGTAAGATATGCAGGAAGTCGATGGATGCAGGTGGCTCAGGACCGTGCTTTGTGGCATTCATTGGGGGAGACCTATGTTCAGCAGTGGACTTGTGAAGGGCTGTAATGAAATGAAATGAATGACAAACCAGCACACAGTGCACCTGATGGTAAGTGGTTGCTGTGACCCATAGACATCCACATCTATCCTCAATAAATAATCAAAATGCAGATGCGTTGTCACCCGTGAGGACTAAGATGGAATGCCTCTTATCCAGTAAAAAAGGTCTCCGGTTCTCTACACTCACCATATGAAACACAGCAGAGTTAAGCTGCTATTTTACGCTGGTATTCTGTGAGAGCGTAGTCCTTCTCCGGTTGAGCTGACCCGTTGGTGCTACAACTATACTACTAATATAGATGCAGCATGGCTCTACCACGAAAAGTAAAAAATAAATGATTGATGAATAAATTTTTTTTAAATCGATTATTTGCTTTTTTTACATAAAAAAGGGGTTTTAGTGGCTTATGGTGTGGATTTATCAAGTCTTCAAGGCGGCGTAAACACTATAACTTTTGAAAAAATCAATTGTTAAACTCAATCTATTTTTAAAACTATTCATCTGTCATGTGGTAAGCCATGGAATGTAAATGGCAGTATAATTCTGTTTTGTTCAGTTATAATTAATTTTTTCGGCTGAGAAATAGCGAAGTTTTCGGTGTTTTGAGTAGCCTTGTATTAATTTATTTTACTAAATACACTTTGCCTCACTCCCGGCCACAGAGTATTTTTTTACTCCGGGCTTAGCCGCCTTCGTGAGTGGTCGTTTGTTGTGTTCCTGCTGAAAAATATCGATCTCTTTAGAAATACATACTTGACCATGGTAAGATATTATTATTATTTTTATAGTCATAGATTTTTATTACAATATTTTGTTTCGCTAAAAGTACGCAGGGTTTATATGTAAATATACGAGTACTTATACGTCTTGGACTTTATGGAGACCTGAAGGTGTACTTCGATATCTGCTAATGGAACTCATCGATGAGTAGAACTAGGTGTGCCAAGATTGTGCTCTTTATGTCAGTTATGATAAGACCTTACTCCGACTTGAAGGTGTACTTCGGTGAATGCTCCTCGAAGAGTAGTTAAAATATTGCTTAATATTCTGTGCCGTATTTTCGCAGTCCAGTCGTTCGCACATGATATGAATTACGAAGGACGTCATTTTGTCTGCGAGAAATTGACATCTCTAGAATGCTTCTTGCATTCCAGAGACGTGACATCATTTCATTATTATTTTCATTTCAACAGGTTTAGTTTTTAATACGCTTTTATATTAGCTTGGTATGTATCTATGTTTCTACGTAACGGAATTATTGAATGTGATTTTCATCCCCTTCAAAACGTTGGATTGGTTTGAAATTTCGCGCACTTATCAAGAACCGATGAATATTTTATGGAATAATTTAAATAGTTTGTCCCATTATCCTTGCCAGGATTCTCAAGATTTGCGAATAATTCATAAAACAACTAAGATTTCTGTCAGTTCAATCTACTGTAAGCAGCGAAAAAAAACTTCGTTCCAAAAAAAACATGATTTTGTAGTCAGCCGCACTAAAAAGTAGAAAATTATTTTCAATAGTGATTGACATAAAAGATAATTTTAAGCCGGAATCGAGTGATAGGTCAAGCCATAATAGTTAACAGAAAAATATGAAAAAATTTTTTGCTATATTTTAAAATTACAGGCAATTATAAAAAAAATAGAGAAAATCTACATCCTGTTATGGTCTATTAACTCCCGTTGCTACAAATTTTAACTTTTTTTTAAATTTTCTTTTTATTATGTAATCCTGAATAATGATTCTAAAAACTGTTGCTTAAAATTTACAGCCAACTGCTCTAATCCAGAAGGAAGTGTATTTTTTTCCCAACCAAATATTCAAAATCAATATTTTGCATAGTTTTAAATGACTTTACTGAAAAAAAATTCTACAGAGTTTGGCAAGTAACTTTAAAAGTTGGTGCATTTAATAAGAATTCCAAAATGGTATAACACTTGCAAGATTATTTGTTAAATTATGGCTTTTTGTTTTAAGAAACCCATTTGTAAATTAATTTTCCTTACCTGTGTGTGCCAAGGCACTGAAGTGCGGCGGCAGTCGTCAACGACGTGGCCTCTTCTAACTCAACAACGTATGCTTTGAGAGTGATATCTGCGTGGCCGCAGTTTGAATAATGCTGGAGAGCAACAAATGAGTGAATTAAAATATATTTAGATGCATTTATACGTAGTAGAGGCACGCTGCAACGTGTAAAACTTTGTGTGATTTACAATGGTTGCAGCATGAATGGGTCGGCTTGATCGGGAAAGGGCCACGCTCTCACAAAACACAAGAATTACAGTGGTAGCTTAATGCTAACTTTTTACTGGAAACGAAGTATTCCATCTTAGTCCTTAGGGGCCACAACATCTGCATTTTGATTATTAATTGAGGATAAATAGATAGATAGATCTCTATGGACCATAGCATCCACTTATGTTTGTCACACTTATTCTATAAAAAAAGATAATAGTGTGTTTCGTATGTTAAGTGACAAGAAGTAGAGATCATTTTACTTGTACCAAGGCATTCCAATGGGGTTGTTATAAATTAATTTGCTTCATTCCGCGTAAGGTAAGAAAATGATGTGTCCTGCCCAGTTTTAAGGGGACCTCCCACCCTCCCTCAATCGCGCGCACTATACCCGTCGCCGTCAATCCCAGCACTAGTGTTTCTATCAATTACAAGGCATTCCATCTTAGTCCTCAGTGGTGAAAACGCATCTGCATTTTGATTCTCAATTGAGGTGAACTTATTGTAATGGCAAAATTGGTCCTAATTTTGCGTTTATGATTATTGAAGTTATTAAAGTTTAATTAGAAAAAATTGGAAGATTAAAAAGAAAACTAGGAATTGATAAAATAAATAGCCTTTGATCTACATAATGCCGCATTAATATATCCTACCCGCCGTAGCTGAGGCGAGGCGCTACTTATAACAAAAATTTCTTTCTTTCTTTCAACTATAACAAATAATATTAAATATTAATAACTGAAGTATTTAGTAATGATGCCAAAGAGCGAAATTTTTTTTGAAGATCAGCCGTTAAACAAGCACGAATCAGCAGTTTTTCTTGTAAAAATTCCGGTCATTTCTCACGACGGATTTCGATTCAACCCAATATCAGTAATGGGATCTACAAATCAAAGCGGTCCTCAATGCCGACGCATCCGTTTCGTTCTAACCACGTGGCTGCTCGTGTTAGAAATTTATTACAGGAAATATAAATGTGCAAAAAACGTATCACGTCCTTTGTCATTTTTATATCTAGGTGTTCTTTTGCATGACTGCATAATATGTTCATACATAATATGTGTGTTTTTGTGACTGCCTGGCTTAGTTTTCACCTAATTTAGAAGGTAGATCCTTCTAACTTAGATGTTAATCCAAATAAATGTGTATATTTTTTATTTATTTTTTATTTTAAAAAACGTTACCCCCACACTAGGATTTTCTCCTGTATCGTGGAGGCAGTTTACAAACACAAATTGCACAAGGACAAACATCCAGACCCGGAACAATAATTTGTAGGCCATACAAATACTTGTTCCGTGCGGGATTCCAACCCGCGGCCCCCAGCGCACCAACTCATTGCTAAGCCACTGCGCCACGGAGCCGTCAATTTTCTGTCTATATATATCCAACCACAAATAATTGTGTTTTTCTAGTTTTGTTAATAGTTTTCCTAGTTTTTTTTATTTGAACTAGTGACTCTTTTTTTGCTGACTTCAAAAAATGCGGTTCCTATTTCGAAGTGTTTTCGTAAAGGGCGAACCGAATTTGTTGATCCTTTTTTATTGAATTCCTCGTTCAAGAATGCCCCATGTAAATTAAAAAAATAAACTACATTCGAACATGTGGTGGTCTTTAGTTCATTCAAAAAGGTTACAAAATTATTTATATAAAAAGGAAAGAAAGAAAAATTAGACATTTAAATATTTAATAAAAACGTTTAGGGATTGACGAAATAAGAACGTTTATTAAGATATCAAATTAATAATGAAATGACTAGATAAAGAACAAGTAGTAAAATTAAAAATTTTGTACAACCGACTTCAATATAAATTCTTAAAGATAACTCAAAAACTATTGGTCAGACCTTAATCAAGTTTATATGAGAAGCACCAGTTTTCAAATAAAAAGAAGAGTCATTGAAATCGGTTCACCTAGAAAAAAAGTTATGAGGTAATACACATAAAAACATGCAAGGAATTGAGTACCTCGTCCTTTTTGCAGTTGGTTAAAAATAAGATACTTTTTACCAAGGACAAAATATTACAATAGGTTTATGTTTCCGTGTGGATGTAGCGGTGGATCGTAGGAGCTAGTTATCAAGTTAATCCAAACAATTAAAAAAGCAAAAATTAGACTGATAATAAAAAGTACCCGCTTACTTCAAAGGACTACAAAAAAAGAAAATAATTTTCACATAATAGCTTATGAAATTATATGAAAAAATACTTTTTCCTTATGTGCTCTTTTCATCGCTTCGTAGGTGGTTAAAGAGGTGACTGAGGGGAAACTAAAACAAGAGAGAAAGCAGCTGCATCTTCTTGATAACAACTGAAAATAATAAAACTACATAATGTATACGTATATTAATGAGGTACCTATGAATATGCTCTTTTTTAAATATTATATATGTATATGAATGATGTATGAATATGCTCTTTTTTAAATATTATATATGTATATGAATGATGTATGAATATGCTCTTTTTTAATATTTTCTTTACAAAGCAATGGCTCCATAACCCGCACAGAATGAAAGACATCTAATTATACCTGTCGATAAATAAATATCATCTATACAAATAAATAAAATTGAAGTGTCTGTTTGTAATGTCAAAATTACAGCTTTTTACTAAATGCATATGAAATTATATACGGTACTAATAACAAAAATACAATTTTTAAAGTTTTTGTCTGTCTGTCTGTCTGTCCGCCTGTTTGTCTGTTTGTTCCGGCTAATCCCCGAAACGGCTGGATCGATTTTGACAAGATTTTCACTGGCAGATAGCTAATGTCACAAGGAATAACTTAGGCTACTTTTATTTTAGAAAAAGAATTAGGGTTTCGCACAAAAAATTAAAACCCCAAATAACACGTGGGCGAAGTCGCGGGGAACATCTATTCTTCTATACAAATAAATAAAATTGAAGTGTCTGTTTGTAATGTTAAAATAACAGCTTTTTACTAAATGCATATGAATGTATATACGGTACTTATAAAAAATTACAAATTTTAAAATTTTTGTCTGTCTGTCTGTCGGTCTGTCTGTCTGTCTGTTTGTTCCGGCTAATCTCCAAAACGGCGGGACCGATTTCCACGGGACTTTCACTGGCAGATAGCTGATGTTCTAAGGAGTAACTTGGGCTACTTATATTTGAAAAAGAGAATTAGGGTTCTGAGCAATATAATTAAACCCCTAAATTACACGCGGGCGAAGTCGCGGGGAACAGCTAGTACTAAATAAATATCATAATGGGATCATCTCTAATTTGGGATGCGTTGTCACTAAAAAGGATTTTCTGTTGACGGCATTCACGATGTGATACACGACAGTATAATGATCCTATTTTACGCTTGCAGCCATATTATTTGCAATGTGACTCTGCCGAGTAAACGAATCATTACTTTCTGATCTTCTTAAACAAGCATGTGTGAACAACATCTTTAAATGTAACTGCGCAATGAATTTACTCTAAAACAAAACACCAACTTTGTTCAAGAGCTACGAATTAAGTTAATCAGCGAGCTATACAAGTTAATGAGATCTGAAGTTTTACCTCGCGACTAATACTGTGGTTGTGTTACAGTATTAAGCTGGATAGGAAAAGTTTGTGAAGGTAGCTGGAAACTAAAAAGTTAGTTTTGTTCCATACATACATGAATGTTTTATAGCAACATTGTGGATACTTAGCGGATATATAAGAAATTAGTTAACATTAAGTACGAGTAGTGTTCAGGTCCCAAGCTGAAATTAAAACTTTTTGTTCGGTTAGGGAATATATCTTGAATTATTAAATCATGAACTATTTTCTATAATTAGTTGAACGTTGCATAAAATTGGAAAATTACAAATATGTTTAGATGGTAGAGCCTTGATGCAGCTATATTATAGTTGTAGCACGAATGGGTCTGCTCGTTCGGGGAAGGACCGCACCCTCAGAGAATACCAGCGCAAAATAGCAGCTCAATGCTTTTTTGTTTTGTATGGCGAGTTTAGAGAACCGGAGACCCTATTCATTGGAAATAAAGCATTGCATCTAATTCCTCAAGAGTGATAATGATAACGAATTTGCATTATGATTCTTAATTGAGGATGGATGTGTGTTCCTTTGTCACACATATTCTACAAAAAAAAAAACATTATGTTCTTTAATATTTTCAAATGTATTTATCAGTCCATCCGCTGGGTGGCGGTGGCGTTAAGGAATACGTCACCCCATTTCGTCCCGAGGGAGTCGTAAGAAGCGAACATGAGAAATTTCAGAAATTTTAATCGCTTTGATACAACATAAAATGACATACCCCACGTAACGATAGTCCCTATATCAAATGAGTCAAATATAAAGTCTCTCAAAGAGTCATATTTGATTTCGATAGTAAATTCACTTTTTTCCTTACACATCATCATCATCATCATCATTACAGCCCTTCACAAGTCCACTGCTGAACATAGGCCTCCCCCAAAGAATGCCACAAAGCACGGTCCTGAGCCACCTGCATCCATCGACTTCCTGCATGTCTTACCAGGTCGTCACTCCATCTCGTGGGGGGATGCCCTACACTTCGCCTACCAGTACGAGGCTGCCACTCGAGAACCTTTCTTCCCCATCGGTTGTCGGTTCTTCGAGCTATATGGCCGGCCCACTGCCACAAGTTTGTGTTATTGTAATTTGTAATGTTGACTTCTTATATTTATGCGAACACTACACATTTAAATAAAACTATGTTGACAGATTTTATCTTAACTTATTTTATATACACGACATTTGGAGTTATGACATTCAACACATCAGTCACGCATATGATATTGGGACGTCGAACAACTCAGTCCGCCTATAACCACGAGGTCTGTAAAGTACTCGAAACGTCGGGAATATAAAATACCTAAGTTAATATACCTGACAA